CTCACTGATAGGAATAAGCAAAACTCCCCCCCTGCCAGGAGGAGCATATCTAAGTCCATTTCTTTAATAACAGGGCTGACAAGGATCTTGGGTTTTGGTCAAAGAACAGCATCTTCCAGGGTCACTTGAAGTTCTGCCTAGTTGAAAAATAAAGCAATAAATGTCATGTTGGTATTTCTGGATAATGAGGAGCTATTGTGTCTGAGTGACCGCTGTGTAACTGCCAGCATTGGTAGTGTATAGCACAGGTTCATTCTGAAGGTGAAGCCTTGAGTCCTCAGCTTTGTTCCCATTCTCACTGGCTGGTAAAGGGAGGTGACACTGTGGCAAGTGATGCTGCGTTAGACCCTAGGGAAGGTCTTGCACTTCGGTACTGTGGTGAAAGTTAGGAGATGCTTTCTTCTTCTCTTGTTTCCTTTCCTTTTTTTTTTTGTCTGGTTTTTTTTTGTTTGTTTGTTTGTTTGGTTGGTTTGGTTTGGTTTGGTTTGGTTTGGTTTGTTTACTATTTGGGTGAAACTAGTATTTCATACAAATTCCATGTAAAAGAGCAAGAGCTACTCTGGAGTAGTCAATGGCCAGTTGTTGGCATTTGCTGAGAACAAGGGAATTTCAGGTTATGCAAGTTGTAAATTTGATCCAGTTAAGTAAAGACTGACTGTGAGTCTCCTTAGCTCTCAATTTGTATCTTTTCCTGTCACTCCCACTCTCTCTGCTTCTCATCTCAGGAAGCATTACCAGTAAAACTTCAGCCGAAACAGCACTGTCCTGTGGAGTTTTAGGTCAGATGAAAATGGTTTTGCTCATAAATTCCTTGAAACTCCAGGAATATGAAGTGATTTTACCTGAAGAGTAATTTATTACAGACATGTTGCCTACTAATTGAGATAATCTCCAACAGTGATGATGAATGGAGATGATCAGGGATTCTGTACTTCTAAAATGCCATCCTGACAAGAAAGTCAATTTGCGATCCACTAACATCTCAGTAATGAAAATTGGGTAAGGTAATAAGAGATTCCATTTTGTGAATGAATCGACAATGCAAATAACAGGATTTTTAATTTAGGTTTAAGTGGAGTAATGGCTACTCATTCTGATACATCATTAGTCATACAGCCTTTTAATGAGGGATTCGCTTTCTTTTCCTGGTTAGCTCTAACACTGATAGCAAAGCCCAGTGAATGTACAAATGTTTAGGGAGGTCTGATGAATACATGTCACTGCACAATTTTAATTTAAAATAGGAAGAAAAAGCATTATGGTGAAAAAATACACATTTGCTTTTTGTGCAAGGAAAATAAGTAGTGCAGAGCTGTGATTAGTAGGCTGTTGTGAAAAATAACTACAGTAAGATTCTGAAACAAATTCTAGAAAATATAGAAGGAAAATAGTGTTAAAGGGAATGCTAGTGAAAGGGACTGGCTTTATGGCTGACAGCAGTAGGAAAGGAGGTCCTTTGACCATCTGCAACATGGGTGTGTTACAAATAGCAGCAGATGAAGACTGTTCTTGAACTACCAAATCCACCCTGGGCTTCGAACACCTCATTCCTCTTCTGGGTAGATCTCTGTTCAGCATTTTTATTTCTTAGGTGTCCTTTTTTTTTTCCCTTTTTTTTTCCTTTTTTTGTCTTTAATTGAGAGCTTGTTTTGATATTCATTGAACAAAGTGGGAATCTTTCCATCAAATTGAATGCATTAGGTCAGATTCATAATCAGCAGTCACTGAAACAACCTAACAATAGTTTTGTCACACACAAGTGCACTGTCTTAAATGGGATTTGCGTAAGAAAAGCAATAAAACTAATCCATTATAAACACGTATTATAACTGAGTTTTGACTGTATCTGTATATTTACCAAAACAGTTTCAACCAATTAAAGCCAAATTGAAATTAATGCAGACTCTTGCTCCAGGCAGGAGCATAGGGCAGTTAAATTAAATCAGTTTAAACTAGCGTATGTTTAGCCACAGCAGTATGATGCTGTGTGTTGGTTAGACTTAGGTCTGATTGCCTTCCTGCCTTACTTACTGCCTTACGCTGCTGAGGCATTTTGACTTTCTGTGGGGACAAGCCATAGCATGGTGAAACACATGCTATGTCTCTTGCTACGGCAAGAGAAGAAGTTTCTAGGAGGCAAACAAATGTCCACCAAATCTCTTTCTCATGCCTGTTTCTACGCTCCTGGTGCCTCATAGCTTGTGACATCTTGCAAGTCTCAGTGTGGTTTGCAAAAGCCTGGGTAATCCAGGGCCTCTAAACACTGTTGAGGCAGTGCATGTCCTCCTGGAACAGAGCCTTCAAGGAGATCAGTGACCTCTGCAGTCTCTAGCACAAAGCTACAACCTCATGTTTTCAGTTTGCTGTTGTATTGTGCTTTTCCCTTGCTTATGTAAGTGCCCATTCATTACAAATGTCAGGGAAGGGTGGCTGGAATGACAAACTAAAGAAGTGGGTATCAGAATGTCAGGACCTCTCCAGGAGGTTGCTATCCCTCCGTGCACACACAATAGTGAAGAAGAGGTTGCACAAAGCAGCTGAAGTCATTTACCTGGACTAATGTAAAGCTTTCGACACTGTCCCACATGACATCCTTGTCTCTAAATTGGAGAGATACCAATTTGGTAGATGGACCACTTGGTGGATAAAGAACTGGCTGGATGGCTGCACGCAAAGAGCTGTGGTCAATGGCTCAATGTCTGGCTGGAGACCAGTAACGAGTGGTGTCCCTCAGGGATCGGTGTTGGGACCGGTCTTGCTCAACATCTTTGTCGCTGACATGGACAGTGGGATTGAGTGCGCCCTCAGCAAGTTTGCCGATGACACCGAGCTGTGTGGTTCGGTTGATATGCTGGAGGGAAGGAATGCCATCCAGAGGGAGCCTATAGGGATGCTTGGGAGGGATCTTCATTAGGGACTGTAGTGACAGGATAAGGGGTAACGGGTTAAAACTTAAACAGGGGAAGTTTAGATTGGATATAAGGAGGAAATTCTTTACTCTGAGGGTGGTGAGGCACTGGAATGGGTTGCCCAGGGAGGTTGTGAATGCTCCATCCCTGGCAGTGTTCAAGGCCAGGTTGCATGAGGCCTTGGGTGATATGATTTAGCGTAAGGTGTCCCTGCCCATGGCAGGGGGGTTGGAACTAGATGATCTTAAGGTCCTTTCCAACCCTAACTATTCTATGATTCTAAAGCAGGGCAGTAGAATTGTAACCAGCTAGGGTAAAATCCTTTCAGGATAACCTCCAAAAGCCCTACATATCACATGCCTGGGAAAATGCCAGTAAGTAAAGAGTCTTCTCATCATCTTCCTTTGTGACCCACTAAACTTTCTTTGAAAGCATGTACCTGTCAGGCATGGTGGGGGAAACTCAGTTTTGCTGCAGTCACATGTTAGCTTCAGCAAGAGTTATCTTGTTCAGATCTTTCTCTCACTCTCTGTTGTGAAATGTGAAAGAAATATAGGCCACGATCTTCTTTGACGCCACCTTGTTAATTCAAGGGAATCCTAGACATCTGATATGCTGAAATCATTCTGTATCACTTGACTCTATGTGAGACGCAACAGTTCCCAGCAGACTGGGTGATACAGGACTAGCATCCCTTTCTCCTGATGGGTTTCTTGAAAACTGCCATTTTCTTCACAGCTTGTAAAAGGAAAGTTGATAGGGTGAGTGCACCAGAATGTTTGTGAAAGTGCTGGGTCATGCTTGATGCTTTAACCTAAGAAAACAAAATTTTGAAATAAAACGAAAGCTGAACGTGTCCTAAAAAAGGCTATGGAGCTACAAGAAAATGTTTCTGACACTGGTAGAAAATGACCTATCCAGTCTAAATGCACCAATTCTTCTCTGCTATATGGGAGCAAGAAATAGAAATTAACTTTCTCTATTTCCAGAGAGCTGTGCACAGCTGCAGCCCCAAAGTCTTGGTTATGGTCAGGCCTTTGGGGTTACCAAGGGGGTTTTATATACAATTGAGCTGATTTATGAGATTTCCTGTTAACTTTTATTGCACTAATGGCTTTTCTTTGGTTCTTTTGAAGTAGAGAACATCATTTCTGCAGCAAATGCAAGTCAAAAGTCTTAATGGAGCATAAGAATCTGAAAGGTCATGATTTTATAGGTTTGAAATAGAGGACAGTGCACTGCTTGGTACTCTTAAAAACATGAAAAGTTAATGAGGATGTTTGTCGATAATGAAAAGACATAGTCATCTCCTGGACTTTTGATTTTGGCTACTTGTGCATTGGCTTTTTAAGGGTGTACTTCTATAAATGAGAAACTCTTCTGATGTCTAGGACTGGCCTGCTTCAGAATCATAGCGAGAACTAACAACATGAGGCAGAGCCTTTGTCCCAGGGAGTTTATTCAATACTCTCAACACTCAGTGCTGATTCTCCCTTTGAGCACAGACTATTGATTGCATTTGTCTGGCTTCTAGGGTCACATAGACTACCTCTGTTTATTTGGCTTTGTTTAAGACTTGTGGGTACAAGCAAATTTTAAACAAATAAATGTTCTTGTGACACACATTTTGGTAGCTTTGATGGCTCACAGTAGCACTCTCACTGCTTTCCACATGCAGATGATTGGAACAGTGTATGGTGTTTTAAAATGAAAAATCTAGAAAAGGTCTCGTGGTAGATTTCTTCTGTTGGTTTTGGTTTAATCTGAAGTCTTAAAAATATTTTTTCCATTTGCATGTTAACAAATTTTTTAATGAACATGTAGGAACTTAGCCAAAATAAAAAAGCCTCCTTGCTGTATCACTTAATGGAGCAGACCTTGAATGGTTCACCTCCAACTGCTTGCAACTGTTTTCTCCAGGTGTGGGCATGGAAAAAGCATTTTATTGTTCACTATCACTGCTGTTGCAGGGCGAAGTAATGGGAGCAGGTCGCAGGATAGAAGTAATGGAGAAAAGCAGTACAGCAGGAGTGGCAAAGCTTTCCTTCTTCTTGTTAACACAGACTGCCCTGTTTTCTGTCGTCTTTGCAGCAGTCCAGCACAGGTGACCTGAGGACTCTGAGGAAGGGGTTGTCTCCGTACCACTCTGAGTCACAGCTGTCATCACTGCCGCAGTATCAAGATGCCCTGCAAAATGTAAGAGATGTTTCCTTACCTATACACAGAGCCATGGGTTTCCTCAAAAGTGGGCATGGATGGAGGGGGGCACATGAAGGGTAGAGGGGAGCTCTCCCAGCTGAGAATTCATCCTGAAACCAGTACAGCTGTGCAGCTGAAACCTGCAGCTGTGGGGAGGATGGGGAACCCTTGGAAATACTGATCTTTGACTGAGTTTGGACCATCAGCTTCCTAGCATAGGTTTTTCAGTTAGCTAATGGTCATTGTTGTACATCTTTTAAAGCAAGGGTGAGTCTTGCTATACTTGCAGCTCCTTCTTTGTCAGTGCTTTGTATGCCTGCTGTCAAAAAGCTGGTCATGGATGAAGCAGAATATGGTTTGTCAAATGTCTGGCAGTGCATGCTCGGGGTTTCTTTAGCAATAAAGTTCTTATGACTTTAATTGCAGGTTTTTCTGTATCACGAATGAGGTTTATTTTTCCTGAGATATGCCTGCATTGCTTCTTCTCGAACAACAGAATAATCTTGATTAAAGCCTCTTGCAAAAGTTGGATACTGTGCTGCTGTGCCAGGGCTCCTCCTGCACTGGTGTGCCAGGCATGGCTGAGAAGGCAGAGGCCTGCCAGACAGCTGTCTTCCAGGTGTTCTCATGACTGCCTGAGACACTGCATTTGCTTGGTGATATTGTTTTCCAGCATGCAGGGAAAGCATGGATGCAGTCAGGGAGCCCTGCTGTGAATGGGCTGCGAGGATTGTGAACGTGAGCAGCAACCTGATGTCAGCACAGACAGGGGACCTCCCTGCCACCCTGTGTCTTCTGCTCTGTGCCCAGGGCACTGGTCAGCAGAGCTGTAGGTGCTGCAGGACTAGTTTTATGTTGGCTGCCTGCTTGGGTAAAAGCCATTCTGTAGATGCAGTGTGCCTCTTAGAGCTATAAAACAGGGGCAATAACAATTTAGGAAAGCATGCATAAATAAAACTCCACTGTGAAAGTAGGCCCCTTTCTACCCCTGCTGACCTGCAGGATGGATGGAGACCCTACAGCCAAAACAAATGGACAAAACCATGCAAATGCTATGGAAGACTGTGGCTGAATATGCCATTTTCTAACTTTGTCCCCATATATAGTCAGGAGACTTTATAGGGAGGACAGAGAGAGATGAATCTCAACGTGTTTGGCCTTGCCAGTGCTTTAGAGTTCTGGGGATTTTCCTTCACTTCCCTTGTGCTTGGCCTTCTGACCCTAGGTTGGCACAGTTTTATATTCATCTTGTGGGTCAGGCTGGGATACAGCCAGCAGCTTCCTGCAGCGGAGCTGTGCCAGGGCTTGGAGCTGGCAAGGGACTTCTCTACCTGAGCACTGGCCCTCGCAGCTCACCAGGGCTGGTGGCAGATGGTGCTGCCTGCTGGAGCCCTTCCCAGCCACTTGTCCCTGATTTCCCTCCTTCCTTAAGGAAGAGGTGGCAGCTGGCATTTATGGAGAGGTCCAGGTGCTGCGTGACATTCACCTTCATCTGTCACCCTGCTGTGTTCTGCCTTCTTTGTGGGAAGATGGTAGATTAAAACAACCAGCTCTGGATCCAAATCCGCATTATCTGGGATACTTACATAGCCATTTATCTACCTATTCCTACCAAAATCCCTTTGGTTTGTGGCTTTACATGATGTATTATTTTTGTGATGAAGAATAGCAATAACAAATTCATGCAGATGTCTTTGAATGCCTCAGGCATGTCCCGGAAAGTGGACACTAAGATATACCTGACTTTCTCTGCAGCCTTGGTTTTTTGACAGCAGGCATGAGGTTGTGAGAAATCATTCCTCTTTGTCCCTGCGCAGGCTTCACACATGTGAGTGATGAACAATTGGTGTCGGCTCCGAAGCTGTCACATCTGTTCAGGGTCTCATCATCGTCGCTGCCAGTGCAGCTTTTTGGGGAAGATCCTCAGCACATCCCTCTCTGTCACACAGGTTGCACGCAGGCACCACTCCAGCTCTCTTACGGCCCTGATGTATCTCAGTGAAACAATTTGTATCTAGTGGATCCTGGATCCTGGACACCAGTGCACGCTCAAGACATGTAATCAAAAGACACTTCAGTTGCTCTGTGCAGTGTTTAATGTGCGCATCATGCAGATGGAGGATTATAGATTTGCTCTGTGGGTCTGCAATGGTTAACAAATATCCAGTCCCAGGGGATTAGTTCTGGCCTACAGGCCCCTGGCCATTGCAGGGGAAGGTGTGACATGCATGTTTGTTAGCTTGAACTGTGAGCAGGCTGGTCAAACTCACCAGCCCTGGGAACTGCAAACCAGAGTCATCTCATGGTGTAGTAGAGGCTCCCCGTGTTGTTTGGAAAGTGAGGGTGATTCCCTTGGTCTTAGACCCTTAGTGAGGCATGAGAGGAGGTGACAACAAGCAGCTCCCTGTGGGACCTGTGATTTCCCTTGGGTAAGAAGGGCAGGCTCCAGGGCAAACTGATTGGCCCGGCTTGTTCTTTCCTATAGTCTGCGGCCTCCAGACATGTAATGGTTACTTGGGAAGATGAATGGTGTAACTCTGAACATGTCCCTTTCCTTCTTCTTCCCCTGACTTTATATGCTGAGCATGACACCACATGGTACAGAGCATCTCTTGGGTTGGTTGGGGTTAGCTGTCCTAGCTGTATCCCTTCCCAGCTCCTTGTGTACACCGAGCCACTGGCTGGTGGGGTGGTGTGAGGAGCAGACCTTTACTCTGTGTAAGCACTGCTCAGCAATAATTAAAATATCCCTGTGTTACCAACACTGTTTCCAACACAAATCCAAAACACAGCCCCATGCTAGGTACTGTGGAGTAAATGAACTCTACCCCAGCCAAAACCAGCACTCTGGGTGTCAGCAATGGAAATGGTCCCAAAGCTTCCTTGGAGGACTTATGCTTCCAGTTGCTATTTGCCAGGCTGTTGCTATTTCTTCAGTACTTTGTTTCTCCATAGTAGCTGGAACAGGTATTTTTCACCCATGTTGCATTCATGTTATACCTGCAGTGCATGTGTTTCCTTTGTGGCTGCTCCATGTGGATGTGGCAACACTTGGGGAGGAGTTACTGTGCTCAGCCCTCTGGTTTGGTACAGAAAGCTGTTGGAGGAGTAACAGGTCAGATGCATGTGTGGCTGCAGTGCATAGAGAAGGTGATGCTCAGTCTGTCCTGGAGACTCTACCAGATCAGAGCTGTTCTGGAGTTTAACAGTACCAGATGGGAGTTACTGACTTCCCATTTTGTTTGTTGTCATTGTCCAAGGAGTCTGGATTACCCAGTCATATGGTCTCACCTCTGGTTAGTGAAATTACATTTCAGTAACATTGAGGGGTCTAAGGAGAATAACGCTGGGTTTAGGTAATTGCCACTGGAGGAGGAGCCCTGCTGGTGCAGTATCGTGAATTAGGACTCACAGCCGTGCCTGCCACGGTGGAGGGACTCTTCTCTGCAAACATATGTTCCTTCTTTTCACCTCTCCATGCCTCAGTATTTCCCTTGAAGGAATTGGGTGGGAAATCACTCATTCCATAGCATGTTTTTTTCAGGCAGTTCTTTACTATTAAGCTAAATATCACTGAGTGCTCCAGGATCCTCCGGGGTGGACGCTAAGAGGTGGTGTTTAATTTTGGAACAGTATAGCATTGCTGGAGAGTTCACTTATTTCTCTGTGGGCTTTCTGCAGCTTCATTTTAACGATGAGTGAAGTCTGGAAGGTGGAGTTATCCACGCTCAGTGTCAGCTGTCGTGCTCTCACTCTGTAAAGCCACCCTACACAGTATAAAGGTTAACTTTGGTCACATGTAATGATTGCGGAGTTACTATTCTGACGTGGGGAAAATGAAACTCCCCATCCACAGCACTAAGCCCTTATTTTGTTACTAATAGTCATGTTTCAGCAATTCGTTTTCTGAGATGTAAAATCTCAGCTACTGACTTCTGGAGCATGAGGTCCCTGTAGCACAGTTAAGGCATGTTACAGAACTTGCTCCCTTTCGCCTCTTCTTGGGTGCTCTGGCTGCCTACGTAGAGACACGGGTCTCTGAAGACTTCCACATTCCTGCCTGCTGCTCCAGGCATGTCTCAGTGCCCAGGCATGGGAAGGTGGCCTGAGGGCAGCTCATGTTCCTGTGATTGGAGGTACCTTCACCTTGAGAAGCTTATAAACCAGCTGCCTGGGGAAGCAATTTATCCACATTGGCATAAAACACCATTCAGCCAGCTGTTACTACAGTTAGAGCTAGCCTGGCTGGCTTAGACTTTAAATTTACTAGCAGCCTTCATGTGACTTATAATAGGAATCCTGCCTTTTGTGGGAGTAACTGTAGAGGTTTGTAATGGAAACATTAAGATTAGCGTGGATGGAGTGTGAATGGAAAAGTGTGTGAAAACACTAGGAGGAATAGTACTAGTACAAGGGATGCAGGGATGGCCTGTGCTGATGACCAAAGACACAACTGACAGCAAGCAAATGGGTAAACACAGCAGGATGTGTGGTTTGTGTCAGGACCAAGAGGTCTGTACTGTGATAAGGCCATAGCACAGATGGCTCATCACTAGAAGACCTATTCCCTGATAATGGGAGGAAGGTTACACTGTGATGTGCCATGTACTTCCTGTCATTCCAAGAGGAAGTCTTAGATAAGGTGCCCAAAATGAGGGAGAATCAACAGGCAGCAGCTTTCTGTGGCTTTATGGTGGGTGAGTAAAGCAAGATGCTGAGATAAGGATCAGCCTGTAATAACCATTGACTCCTAAAGCATGTGAAAAATGTGTCCAAACCCCAGTTCTTTGCTATCAATGAGGAGGGATGCCAGAGCTGTCATTAGGATTTGCTGGTGTGTGTCCCTTGTCCTCTGTGTCACACACAGTAACCCTGACCACGCCACATGGCGATCTACCTTTTGGTGAATGCGTAAGCATGAGTTTGTAGGTGTGTGGGTGAGTGACACGTTAGAGGAATAAGTTTTAGGTTAAAAGAAATATCACCTTTCCCTTACT